TCCTCCCTGGACTGACCTATCCCCTTCCTAACTCCCTACCTACACTCACCTTTCCTGGCCCCATCCCCGCCTCTTCGACCTGTTTGTTTCCTCTCCACCTATCCTCTCCTCTATCCCTTTTCTATCCGCCTCCCACTCTCTCCCTATTTATTTCAAAACCCCCTTCCCCTCCCCCTTTCTGATGAAGGGTCTAGGCCCGAAACGTCAGCCTCTCTGCTCCTATGATGCTGCTTGGCCTGCTGTGTTCATCCAGCCCTGCACCTTGTTGTCTCGGATTCTCCAGCATCTGCAGTTCCTACTATCTCTCATCACTAAGATATGTCCACCTAACCTCACAATTAACTAGCCTACTGGCAGTTATTTTTGGGGAGGTGGCCAATATATTTTATCACCCCCATCTGGTTTGGAAATATAACCCCTGCACATCAGTAATTTAGTATCCAAAAGAAGAAGTCTGGAGAAAGAATAGTTCTCTTATACATCTACAAAATTCTTAATCTATTCATCATAAATCTCCCAGATTTGGACATTAGTTGCACATAATGTAAACCAGCAACACGTAACAAAAAAACCACAAGTGTTTTCAAAAATAAGTGACAGGATAGATGGTATTTGACCACACATACAGATTGATAATACTTAGTTACATAAATAAAAACATAAATTTATGTAAATGGCAGTAAGAGGCTAACATTGAAAGCAAAATTCCATACGGCTAGTACAATGGAGTTAAACTTGTGACTTAGCATTGAAGCTGCTTTTTTAGAGAAATTATCAGGCAAGAAGATTTAATATTTCAGATGATAGTCACTGCAAATTTACTGACAAAGACAATTTTTATGAACTGTGACACTATTTTAACTTCAAAATATATTATATTTCCATCTTGTACAGTAAGTTTCCTAATGGAAAATACCATTAAATCAATATCTCAACTAATGACTATAATGGAATCTATATGGATTGCAAATGACTGAGTAGACATTTCTCTAGGGAGCAATCCTGCTGGAATATTGATTGAAACTGCAATCCAATCATGTTTTGTGTGTCATAGTGTTTAAATCCATAGAAACATCACTTAGTTCCCATAATGCAGATTGTATACATTATAGCTTTTGATTTGTGTTCAGGTACAGTGAGTGAAATAAGTTTGCCAAATGTTGCCTATCTGAAACTCTGCTTAAGGAAATGGCAGCCTTACTCAGAAAAGCACTAAAGAAGAAAATATTTCATCCAAATGGAGATCGTTTATTTGCTGTGATTGAAGTAATGACATCTACACGGGAAGACGAAAGGTATTACCTTTGCAGTTCAGGTAACTTTTGTACTTTTATATGGTACCATATTGTCCTCATTAATTCTGTAAATTGTAAGTACATTTTAGGCAAAGTACAAGGGAATAAATGCTAATTTAATTCAATCACAAAATCATTTATCTTAAGAAGTAAACCATTGTAGACTTAACAATTCATAAAAACACAAGACAACAATTAAATGTTTGATTGGAATTTCAACTAAAAATCTCTTTTTATTTAGATAGGTTATTCAGTTCCTAATTGGTCATTTGCTGTACAATTATTCTGGCCACAGCTATTTGGATTTATCATGATTATGGTCTGTTTCCTATTATTTTTATTCAGAAGTTTCTTAAATTGATGGGTTAATGTTATTAATTTACCGGGACAGTGGTTTATGTATTGTGTTAGTTCAGTCACTTTTCTGTAGCCTGCAGTTGCAGCATTTCATTATTGGTTAGGAACTGTTAATAGCCCTGGAAAAATCTCTCAGCTACCACTACTCAAGATGATATCTGGCAAATTTTTAGCTGTTTTGTTTTACTACATTTATCATACAATAGACACAAAAATGCATCTTAAGAAGTGCCTTTCATAATTAAAAGTGCTCGAACTGGTCCAAATGTTCAGTTAGCTAATTGCAGCAATGGTAGAGGTAAGCAGGTCACGTTTTGCGGTTACTGCTACATCGCCACAGAAGAAGTTCAGCGTAACTGAACTAAAAATGCAATTATAAAGTTAAATGCACCTTTCTTCTTCTTCTACTTACTGTGGCTATCACAGTAGAAAGCCGACCTCTGAATCAGTAGGTTGTGGGTACGAGACCAAACCTCGGGACTTGACATACTTTTAGTGCAGCACTGAGGAAGGCATTACGATTTGAAATGTGATCTTTTGGAATGAGACATTAAACGGAAACTAAGTCTGCCTCTGAAGTGGATACAAAAGATCCCATTAAACTGTTTTGAGGAAAAAATAGAGGGCTTTGCTTTAATCAGCATTAATAAAGAAGATTGTTTCTGAAGAAGGGTCTAGGCCCAAAACGTCAGCCTTTCTGCTCCTCTCATGCTGCTTGGCCAGCTGTGTTCGTCCAGCTCTGCACCTTGTTGTCTCATCCAGCCATTAGTTCATTGAAGTTTGTGGGATTTTATTGTGTACCAATCGGCATCAATGACTCCAATATTATCACAGTGACGAGACTTCAAAAATTACTGAATTAGCTTCGGGTCATCTGAAGTTCATGAGAGATATTATGCAGCTGCAAGGCTTTTCTTTTTATGCAAAACATATGGTAAAGAAAAAGATCAGCCCTAAACTTTTAAAACTGCTGTTTACGAGGGCTAGGCCAGGGACATGCAGTTAGAAGCGATACCCAAACCAATCAGTTAGCCCATATAACGAATAGGCCATTTGGTTTATTAATAGCCGAGATTTTGTGATGGCAGCACTCACCAGTGACATCAAATTTACCCACAAATCTGCTGCGATCCCGATGGGGAGAATTTTGGCTCTTCTGGAGGTTGGGGAATGGTGGGGGTGCACTTCCTGGGTCCTGTCATGTGTTGCAGTGGGATCCTGCAGCTCAGGCGAAATTTAGGTGACAGTAGTCTGTGAAACTTACACTCTGCACCACAAAACCTAGGGAAAAATCTGGTACTGTAAAAAGACATTAGAATATTACATATTCGGTAGAAATCATTTTACAAAATCAAAAGAGTAAAAGAAAACTTCAAAAGTGAAATAATTTTGTGCAAATATATCGATAAGGCAGACAAGGAAAAAGTCTTCCCATCAGCTGATGGAACCAGGACTAAAGGACACAGATTTAAGATTTTGTGTCAGAGATGCAGGCGTGGGATTTGCAAAATAATTTTTTAATACACTGAACTGCGATGGCTTAAAAATATGAAGGTGATGGAAACACAGATGATCAGTGATTGAAAAGGAATGTGGGTGAAGCGAAGAAACCTATATATGGGTCATATGGAATCAGGCATGAAACTGAAAGGATTGTTATTGAAAGCTGCATTGTCTCCTTCTCTGCCATGACTCTCTGACCTCTGTGACTCAATCATTTTGATACATGATCTTTAAAAGTCTGATAATGCACACTACAAAGTAATAGATTTTACTTCGTAACAAGGTCTGTCATATTTTTTAAAAGTTTAATGTTAAGAAATGTTTAAAAAGTGAATCCATTTTAGCTTTTAAGATGGTACCAGTTTCATACTTAAGAATTTGTGAATTGAGTGGTGACTCGTTATGTCTAAAAATTACAAGTGTAAAATTTGAAAGTGTCATTAATTTGGCATTAGTGGGCAATAGCCCTAATTTGTATTGATTCCATACTTGCCATTTGAAGTAGCAAACTGTCACCAGTAGCTTTGATTGACACACTTCAACTTTGGGATTAACACACTAACAGTGCACATCGCACTCTGGGTGTTACGGAGCTTCTCCAAAGTTCAATGGTGGTAATGTCACCCATACTGATACCGCAAAATCCAACCCAGTATTTCCCCCATTTTTTGAGGATAGACATGGAATAGAATAAATAAGTGGGATTTGCTTTATCATCTGTGTGTTCATTTGCTGAATGTAAAATAAAGACAATTAACAATTCGCATTTGATTACATCGCATTAAAATGTTTATCAATTACTCTAATAAATAACAAACATTTGAAAAGACAAAGCACTCCACATCCAGTTCAGTTCTCAGTGGAGCTTTAGTTACACCTTTGGGTTATGTCTTTGCAGAGTCATTAGTACACTCGTGAATACACAGTTCATGGAAGTAACCAGCACTGAAGTGTGCAAGGGGAAAGTTGAGGTGGACTTGAAAATTCCAACAAAACATTGCCACTGGCCCCACATTACTGGTTACAGAGATGAAGAAAAATTAGTTCAAGCTCTCACTCCTGGTTGACAATAATATGCCATTGATTAGTTGTGGCAGTTCTACTCATTCACCAAAGCAGAAAAATGATTCAATGTCACAATTGTATGTTTCAAACTCAACCTTCAACCCATGATAACAGATAAGCTATTCTTCTATGATGTTGAATGAGGCATAAATATTGGCTAAAATGCCAGCAGTGTCAACTCTGCTCTTTTTTGAATAGTGCCATGGGAACTTTGACATTAATCCGGGCAGGTTTGGGGCCTGGCATTAATGTCTCATCTAAATGACAAATGTAAACCTTTTCTGGAAGAAAGAGAAAAGGACTAATCTACATGTAATAATCTTTATAAAATAGTTCTCCTGGTATGGAAGCCAGCTTAAGGCATTCAGATATGCAGTTTAGCATGCCTGCCTCATCAAAATCAAATACTGGTAAATCAAAAACACAGAAATTTTGGCAAGTTAATCTCTGCTTCCAATTGTCCAGCTGCTCCTCCGAAATAACTCCATTATGGCCAGTATCCCATCACCAAGTCACCCTTTATTTACATGTGGAGAGTCCTTGTCACCGATCCAGCTTCCTCAGAGCCAGCTCTCAGAGTGAACAGGACCCCTGACAACAAGGTGCAGGGCTGGATGAACACAGCAGGCCAAGCAGCATCTTATAAGCAGAGCCTTGGCCTGCTGTGTTCATCCAGCCCTGCACCTTGTTGTCTCGGATTCTCCAGCATCTGCAGTTCCTACTATCTCTGATTCAAAGGACCCCTGACACCCCTGTTTTTATCTGTCAACCAGGAATCCCTGAATGGACCAGATTAACAGGCCCAATCATGAACTCATATTCTGAAGTCCACCTCGCTGACCTCATTGCAATCCTTACATCTCTCCCCTCTGAGTCTGAGGACATAGGCTGGTTCTTTTTATTTTGTTGCTCCTCCTGGGGCATTTTACCACTGGGTCAAGCTCCTCCAACTCTGCCTCTGAGACGGGCGGCATGTGACACACAGTAGCTCACCTCTTGCGCCCAGGACGTCTAGGAAGAAATTAATTCTCCTCTTCAGGTGGCAAAGGTGTCAATGTGATGACATTAACTGTGGCAACTGCAGATTCCAATTTATCTTCAATGCTTGATGGAGAGGGAGAACCCACAGGGTCAGGAACAGTCGGAAAGGCAGTTGAAGAGCTGGGTGTGTTTTGCTTCCAAGACAACAAGGTGCAGAGCTGGATGAACACAGCAGGCCAAGCAGCATCATAGGAGCAGGAAGGCTGACGTTTCGGGCCTAGACTCCATTTGTGGGTTTGCAGCTTTCATACGGTCCATGTGCTCACTCAGGACCGTCACACCTACCCAAACTTTATACATCACTGGACTTGACCTCGCGTTGACCATAGCCCTTACTCATGCAGGGCCATTCCTGTGGCTCCTACACCAAACTTTGTCCCTGAAGTAAACTGTCTCTCTCACTTAGCAGAGCCTTGTGTGCGGCATTGGCATTCCTACTGCCAATTCACTCCCGCCCCCTCCAACCCACCACCCCCCAGGTCCAGGAATATCCGATTTAATCTGATGTGGAGTCTTCTCCCCATTAGCAACTCTGCTGGGCCTATCCCTGTAGTTGCATGAGGGGTGGTGATATAATCAAGTAGGAACTGGGACAGTTTGGTATCTAGTGAAGTTACAGGCGGTTTCTTTAAGCCCAGGTTCAAAGTTTGGACTGCTCTTTCTGCCAGAACATTGAATGATGGGTGAAATGGAGCTGTCCTTATATATTGAATATCATTCAACATTAGGAAATACTCAAATTCCCTGCTGGTAAACAACACTTCTGGGAGTCTGTGTATGCAAAAGATGCGTGAAGCTTTTCTATATTGGTCCCCATGTTTGACAAATTAACTGTATGCATGTCCATCCACTTTGAGTGGGCAAGCACAATGACTAAGAACATTGAGTCCATGAAAGGACCTGCATAGCCAATGTGTAACCGAGTCCAGAGTTTACCCAACCATTCCCATGAATGTGGGAGAGCTGCTGGTACTAATTTTTGTCCTTGTTGGCATTCTGGGCACTGTCCCACCAACACAACTATGTCTGCATCCAGTCCTGGCCACCAGACATAACCTCCTCAAGTATCTCCTTTTTGGAAATGCCTGGATGACCCTGGTGGAGTTCAGCCAGTATGTGGCGGTGATCTTTGCTCAGGACAATCACTCTTGCTCCCCATAATAATATGCCATCTTTTACTGTGATCTGGTCTCTCCGCATCCAGAAAGGTTTCAATTCTGATTGTGATGGTCCTTTGGTTTTCCCTATCGGCACCAACTGTTTCAGTTTTGCCAGGACTGCATTTTTCTGCATCCAAAGTCTGGTATCCTCAGCTGTGACTGGAAGCATGTCCAGAAAATTTAAAGCCATTTAAAATGATTTTTAAAAAGGAAGGAACATGGACCTGAGATTGTGGCATTGATAACCTTACCACAGATTGCAGCAAGTTCAGGAAATCAGTGTATTAAAAATAAAATCATCTGAACTGAAACCACCAATTTATCAAAATATGTTGAAACCAGACAATTGAGTCAGATATCGAGAAATTCACATTTTTTTGTTTCAACTTACTGTTTCAACATGTCTGATAAATTGCACACATTAAACATGAATGATCAGTTGCAAGTATCCACATTAGAAACAAAATGAAGGCAGACTCAGAAATATGTTAATGAACCATGTTTCAGTAGCTATGTGGCAGAGCAGCAGACAGACAGAGTTTTTAAAGTACATGTTCTTGACCATCCTATTGTGCTAGACACCTCCCCCTTTTTAAATTTTATACCTCAATTTATGTGTTTTGGAAGGAGTGTTTTATCAATTTTCTCAAGATTAGTAAGTAATAAAATTCCTCTTACTGCCATTCAAGAAAACGTTAAAATCGCCTCAATAACTTTGTCTAGTACTTCATTTTAATTGATGTATGATATAGCTATTTTTGTAAAAAGAATTTAAAACGCTTTGATTTGGCCAAGTAAGGGGGTTGGCTCACACTTCCTTGTTAAAACTTGTTTTGTTGCCAAATCCTCAAATTGCCCATGAACTGAGTGATTTATGAGAGCAATTTAGGGGGCAATTAAGAATCAAATACATTGCTGTGGATCTGGAGTTACATGTAGGCCAGGCCAAGTAAAGATGTACTAAAATAATCTCAGGATCTTTGGCAAATTTCTGTAAATTGTAGATAGTATGTATTACAGCTACTAAGCATTGGTGGTGAAGGAGGTGGATGTTTGTGGATGCGGTGCCAATCAAGCGGGTTGCTTTGTCCTGGACATTAGTGAATTGACTTGTTTTTTCTGACAATCAATGCTGGTCATCACTACTCAAACTTGCTTTCAATACCAGATATTATTCATTTCAGTTATACTCCACTAGTACCCATAGTGAGTCTTGAACCCATACCCCCAGAACATTAGTCTGATCATGAAGATTACTGGTCCAGCGGCATTATCATGACAATGCCATCTCTTCACCTGGTGATAATACCTGGTATCACAAATAGTTAACATGCAGGTACAACAAGTGATCAGGAAGGCAAATGTAATGCTTTTGCTTTCATTGGAAGGAGAATGGAGTAGAGGAAACTCTTGCTATATAGGACATTGGGGAAACTGCACCTGAAGTACTGGCAAGGTGAGAGTGACAGCCATCGACATCAATGCTGCATTTGACCAAGTGTGGCATCAAGGAGCCCCAGAAAAACTGGAGTCAAGTGGAATCAGGTAAAAAGTCTCTGGTAGTTAAGAGTCATACCTGGCACATAGGAAGATGGTTTGGAAGTCAACCAGCTCTGTTCCGAGACATCTCTGCAGGCATTTCTCAGTGTAGTGTCGTAGGCCCAGCCATCTTCAGCTGCTTCATTAATGACCTTCGCTCCATTATGAGGTTAGAAGTAGTAATATTTGCTGATGTTTGCACTCTGTTCTGCACCATTCATGACTCCTCAGATACATGAAGCAGTCTGTCCCCAATTGCAGTAAGATCTGGACAATATCCAGCCTTAGATTGGAAAATTGCAAGTAGCATTCCCCATCTCCAAAAAGAGATACAATCCACTAATATCCTTTGACATTCAATAATCTTACCATCACTTTCAACACCATGGGCATTACCATTGATCAGAAACTCAACTGGACTTGTCACATAAACACAGTGGCTACAAGGGCAGGTCAGAGGCTAAAAATACTGCACTGAGTAACCTACCTCCTGACTCCTCAAAGCCTGCCACGATCCACAAGGCACAAGTCAGGAGTGTTATTGGATACTCCCCACTTACCTGGACGAGTGCAGTTGCAATAACGCTCAAGAAGCTTGACACCACCCAGGACAAAGCAGCTCACTGATTGGCACCGCATCCACAAACATCAACTTCCTTCACCACCAATGCTTAGTAGCAATAGTATGTACTATCTACAATTTGCAGAAATTTGCCAAAGATCCTTAGACCTTCCAAACCTGTGAGCACTTCAATCTGGAAGGACAAGGGCAACAAATGTATAGGAACACCAAGTTTCCCTCCAAGTCACTCATCATCCTGACTTGGAAATGTATTGCTGTTCCTTCATGATCGCTGGGTCAAAATCCTGGAATTGTCTTTCTAACAACATTGTGAATCTACCTGAAGCACATGGACTGCAGTGGTTTAAAAAGGCAGCCCACCACCTCCTTCTTGAGTGCAACTAGGGATAGGCAATAAATGCTTGTCCAGCCAGTGATATCCACATCCGTGAATAATTAAAAAAGAATTTTGGCCTCCTTCCATAAGGAGGCATAAATATACATTGGAAATAGTTCAGAAACGCTTTACTAGGCTGATTCCCAAGGTAAGTTTGTCTTATGAGGAAATGTCAAGTTGATTGGGTCTATATTTATTGGAGTTTAGAAAGATGAGAGGCAATCTTCTTTCACTGTATAGAATGCTGAGATGGTTGACAAAGAGGATGCTTTTTCCATGGGGAATCTAGATCAGGTGGGGAGAATGTTTAAAAATAAGGGGCTGAACATTATTGGGCATCTAGGCAAGTGCTCTGAGTCCGGAGCTGCTCTGGACAGCTCTTGACATTTTCCCCAAACATGGCAGACAGACTTGATTTATGGACAGGAACCTGAGGTCCTGCAGGATAGGATGGTGCAGACACAAGACTTTCTTTTCCCCGAGGATTCAGAGGGGAGGCCACAACACCAGTCCATGCCAGCCTGATCCAAAGTTGCCAACCGGGCAGTCTCAGCCATCTGCGGGAATGAACAGTAAGGGTGGTCAATTAGAAAGTCAATTACCTTTTCCACTCTGCTAAGTTAACTGCCACCATCCTCTCTCCAGTCCGTCACACTCAATCTATCTCTGCTACTGTACCCACTTCCAACAAGGCTCATAAGACCATAAGACATAGGTGCAGAAATTAGGCCATTCGGCCCACACCGAGTCTGCTCCACCATTCAATCATGGCTGATAAGTTCCTCAACCCCATTCTCCTGCTTTCTCCCTGTAACTCTTGATCCCTTTGATAATCAAGAATCTATCTATCTCAGTCTTAAATGTACTCAATGGTTTTTATTTCTCAGAACAATCTGCCCCTAGGTTTTAGACTATAACCCCTAGTTCCACAATCCCCAACCAATGGAAATAATCTATCTTTATCTTTGCTATCTTTTCCTGTTAATATCTTGAAGACTTCAGATACCCCTTAGCTTCTAAAATCCAGAGAAAATAGGCCTAATTTTACCACTCCTACCACTTGCATATCCCTTCCACTGCGTCAAATGTAAGTCAGGCCAACCACTTTCCTCTCCGGTGCTTTACTGCCATTCCAGGAGGAAAACAGCTAAAACTGGGGCAGAAAGAGTCAAGATGTGCAATGGGCTGCCTGACATATCGCTCCCGACCCCTTATGTGGAAACTGTCCTGGCTCTGACTGCCCTGAGCGGCTAACTGACTTGATGTGCCCAGCAGTATTGAGATTGGCCAGCACCCCTATGAGGCAAAATTTCCTCCCAGACAGTTAATAATTAAAGGTCTGTCTGTAAATTTAAAACAAAGTAGCAAACCAGGTGGAAGTGGGCCAGCTTTGACAATTGCACAAGGTGTAGGGAATCTGTTCTCAGGGAAAATCCAGCCTTATAGTCTGAATATGATGTAACCACATTGGACAGTATATGGTGCAAGTACATGAATGATTTTATGATTTAGATATTAAGTTGCAAATTGCACAATAGTTTCAAAATGTCCATTTTCTTGCACAATTACCTTCTTCATGTCTGATCTGAAATAATGACTGTATCTGGTTCTTAAAATAGTGAGCAAAGCCATTCCAAAGTTGATACATGTTCCACTTTTGATCAAGGGTCATCAGCTAGTGATAAGCTTTTAGATTCCATAATCACTCTTTTGATGACAATTAATAAAAAGAAATGCCTCACTGAAATATTGAGATGTTATTTTTTCCAATTCTTCTTTTAAAGGTTTTCTTTGTTGTGATTGCAAGATAATTAATCTGCGCAGAATTTTCTGTTCAGTCACATTTTGATATATAGACAGAATAATATCTCAATTGCTCACTTGTAGTTCTACGTATAATGCAAAGTATTATTTCTGCCAACTCTCTAATTCGATGTTTACACCATTTTATGGAAAATGTTCACACGAAAGAACGTTATCTTTTTCTCTTGCCCACAATCAATTAAAAAACAAAATTTACATTGAGTCTAAACTTTTCTTTGTTTTTTAGTAAGCTGAGGGCAAAACCATGCAAGAAAAATCAATTTTTGATTTTATATTTAATTTCATATGATGTTTCAAGAAGTAAGTTCAAATGTTATTATTTTGAGCATGTCCACGTCACTTTTTAAAAATTCTATGTGCACCATCTTTTTACTTTAGTAACAAATTGCAAGGAGGTGCAAATCACTTTTGTGAAAAACTTAGCTTCGAGTCAAGATGAACAATTTGAGAAAATCAATACATGGTTCCTCAAAGATCTTAAGCTTGTGGATGGAAAAGAAGCAGACCAAGTAAGTAGCTAACCAAATGAGCTTGATCTGTATTGTATTACCTATTTCTCTGTGCAACAGGTAATATTTACACCTTTAAATGTGTAAACAAAATGAAAACTCATTCCTAAATTTAAAAATATAATACTGTATCGAAACATAATTATGATCATTGAGAGTTATCTACTTGAACTGTCCTGCTTTCATATTTTGCCAATGCTGCTGTATAACATATGCATTAGACCTGATGGAATTCTTCCTCCAATTATCCATTTCTCTCCATATTGACAAATGGTTAAGGGTAAATCTTGCAAGATGCCAGAATCATTCCATGACAGTCATAATTTTGTAGTGAATCTCCAATCCACGCTTCCATTAAGCATGGCTTGATGCCACAGCTGAAATTTTACAGCACCCAGGTACCTTATGGCAGATTGGGACCATGAAGGTAGGCGCTATGACAGTACTACCATGCTGAACTGACATTGATAGTTAACTGTACCTGTTGCATAGCCATGTCAATGATGACTCAACCAATCACCATCCTCTTCTTGTGCTGTATAAATTGGTGTCCCTTTAATCAAGTCTGTTTCTGGCATCCAAGTTCTGATGCACACAAGACAAAAAGCATCAACTTTTGTCCCCTTTTAGCAAAGTTTAAATTCTGTACTACCAAGCAATTATTGATGTATACTTTGTATGTATTTTAATGTTTGTTTGTCCATGGGTTGCAACCTTAGCTTTAATGACTGGATTGTAACTGCCAGTACCCTCCAGTGCTGACCTGCCAGAATTTGCAAGACCAGTGGGAAGGCATCTCATCACCATTGGACAAGCAGTACAAACACTGCAACAGGTACATCTACAGCACTAACAAAGCTGGACACCTTAATGCCTGCACATAATTTGCAATAAGGTTTCCCAAGTTTTCATTTCATACCATTTCCCAGTTCCAGTCTTTCTTCCATTGGGCTTTCTGAGGAAGGACCAGATCTGCAAAAGTATTTTGTTTTAAAAAAGATCTGTCTAGCTTGAACCTCACCAGTGGAATCCCCTTTAACCCATGAGGAGGCTGATACTCTTTATTCACACTGTGTTCCAAAATTCACTCATACATCAAATCCTTATGAACCTAAGGAGCGGGATCTGATGCAAAAAGTCCTCAGTCCCTCAGCCCCAGCTTTGCCTCTTCATTTGCCACATAAATGACCATAAAGGACCACAAATTTCTTTCCAGAAATTGCAGAGAACATTTGATCTCCTACCTTCTTTGTGTTTTTCTGTTGACGCTCAAGAAGGCAGTTCAGCACCACCTTCTCAAGGGCAACTAGGGATGAGCAATAAATGCTGGCCAGCCAGCAACGCCTACTTGCCACAAATGAATAAAAAAAAACTCTGTAACAGTGGCAGGACACTAGAATCTTGAACAATTTCACTCCAACAATTTCAATAAACTCAACAAAGAAAGTTGATATTAGAATATGATTTTGCTGTTAGCCTTTCTTAAAGCAAAATACTTCTGGTCAAACCTGTTCAGGCACACCTCTGGGACAATTCAGGTTGTACGACACCATAAGATACTCTTAAATATCTTATTCCTTATGGTGAATATAAAGGAAGGAACAAACAGAGGAATTATGTAGTAACATAAAGGAGATTTTCTTAAAATATCTTATTTAGTTTATGTTAGTTAACAATGTCTTTTGCATGGTTTCCTTCAAAAGTAAAGTTAAGTAATGAATGATAAAGTAGCTAATTTGTCTTTTGAATTTAACTTTTAGGATAATCCACACTTTGATATGCATTTTGATAAAGTTTACGGCTGGGAAACTTCCAGCACAGCCTCCAAATATACCTTTGTCCGATGTTTGCAGGAGCTTAATCACCACTACCTGGGAAAGAAGATCTTGTTTGTGAATTTTGACATTGATTATTTAATTGGTGCCAGTTCAAATTTGAATAGAGGGGATTGTATGCTTGCTTTAAATATGTGTGTGTTGTATATTTGTAATTGTGTATGTTTGTCTTTGTGTAGATAAGGATCATACATAATGTTCAAGTGTTCAGCTCATGTCAGTAGCTGTCTATTGGCAGAAAAATAGATAACAAACATTAATCCTTTAAGGATATACATATATTTTACTTCTGAGAATCAAACTGTATTTTCATTATGGCTTTAATGACATGCTAAGTATGGCAGATACTATTGAATACGCGTATTCAGATTCAGTTATTTCAAATTAAATGCTGTTTCTCAGTTACTGAATCCAGATTAAACCTGCACCTGAATATGGATTGATAAAAGAAATCCCCTTCCTAAACATCAAACAAATGTGCAAAATGAAACTAAAAATCAATCATGCTGTATTGGATATCTTGAATACACTTCAACTGTAGCTAAGAAACACTCATTGGAAACATTCAGACGTCCTGAGTTACTAAGCTGTGGCTTCACGTCCTTCTCAAGGACATGAGCACAAAAAGAAATCTGGCATTCCAAGGAAATACTGAAGAAGTGCTGCACTAGCAGGGATGCCAACTTTTTGATGAAATGTTAAACCAAAGATCGTCAATCCTCTGAGGTGAATGTAAAGTATCCTATTTTGTAAAGCAGCAAGATGTTGACCTTAGTGTCTGAACCAATAACTTGCACTCAATCAACATCACAAAAATAGATGTTTCCGATCATTATCACATTGCTATTTGCAGGAGCTTGCTATGCCTAAATTATATAACATAGAACATAGAACATAACAGTGCAGTACAGGCCCTTCGGCCCTCGATGTTGCGCCGACCTGTGAAACCAATCTGAAGTCCATCTAACCTAAACTATTCCATTATCATCCATATGTTTATCCAATGACCATTTAAATGCCCTTAAAGTTGGCGAGTCTACTACTTTTGCAGGCAGGGCATTCCACGCCCTTACTACTCTCTGAGTAAAGAACCTACTTCTGACATCTGTCCTATATCTATCACCCCTCAATTTAAAGCTATCTGCAATATTTCTGAATTACAACAGTGATACACTCTATTAGATGGACAGCACTTTTGGATAATGACATGTAAGATTATGACATATATAAATGCAATTTTTTTCTCCTATTACTGTTAAACCACCACAGAAACAGATCAGACAATTGATAACTATGTCCATGGAGATGAAACAGGTTTGGGGTTGTTACACAAAATAGAATCTTGCAAAACTGTTTTATAACCTGCCTGATGCTTTTCAATAGAAAATTGCTCATCCCGTCTTTAAAAAAGGCCCAAGATCCATTTCACCTCCAATATATGTGATTTTATATGTAATAATTAAAAATTTTGGGTCAGTCGTCAAAACTGAGGGGCAATCTGGTAGAGGGTTACAAAATTATGAGAGGCATGGATAGAATGGGTGGCATGGTGGGTCAGTGGTTAGTGCTGTTACAGAGACCAGGTTCGATTCCATCCTCAAGTGACTCTCTGTGTGGAGTTTGGACATTCTCCCTGTGCCTGCATGGGTTTCTTCTGGATCCTCTGTTTCCCTCCCACAGTCCAAAGCTATGCAGGTTTGGTGGATTGGCCATGCTAAATTACCCGTAGTGTCCAGTGATGTGCAGGCTAGGTGGATAGGCCACGGGAAATGCAGGGTTACAGGGATAGGGTGGGGGGTGGGGGGGAGCGTTGGTGGATCTGGGTGGGCTGCTCCTTGGTGGTTCAGTCTGGACTCGATGGGCCGAATGGCCTGCTTCCAAACTACAGGGATTCTATTCTATGGAACAGGAAGTAACAGTCTTATTCCCAGTGTAGAAATGTCAATTACAAGGGGACATAGGTTTAAGGTAAAAGGAGGAAAGTTTAAAGGAGATGAGAGAGGCATGTTTTTTACACAGAGGATGATTAGTATCTGGAATGTGCTGCCAGAGGAGTGGTAGGATGCAGATACAATAGCATCGTTTAAGAGGCGACTTGACAGAAAAATGAATAGGCAGGGAATAGTGGGATACAGATCACGCAGAGGTAAAAGGTTTTTAGTTTAGAAGGGCATTATGAACTGGCACAAGTTTGGTGGGCCAAAGGGCCTCTTCCTGTGCTGTACTGTTCTTTGTTCAATTTGCTTAATGACAAGCATCAACAACTGTCTAGAATGCAGCATTCCAAAATAAAGAAATTTGATCAAGCACTACTAACTCTATTCAATAAGTGCTTATACTTTAAGTCAACGTTCCATGCAGGTTACTCCCTTTTTTTAAAATTTCAATCAAACATCTCTTTTTACAGTTCTCCTGAAACCAAACCAAGGTGTGTTCCAGAAGTCTCTTTCATTTTCCTTAGCTTCAGTACTATCATACAAGGTGAATGGTTTTCTGCAGATTGTCCCTCTGGCATTCAGCTAGGTAAATGACTAAAGCTAGCTATGACTTCAACCTTCACAAATTTAGATTTCCTCAGCCTGTACCTGGGTCTTTCTCACATCTTTTTTTAATTCATTCATGAAACATGGGTATCACTGGCCTGGTCAGCATCTTTGCAAAGTAACTCCAAATCTGAAACATTTATGCAGGCAGATGCTCATTCTTTCTGTTTCACGTTGTCTCACACACTGCCAAAACAGCAGAAATATATTGAAGCAAAGGAATCTCAATCCATCACCATGATAACATGGCATACAGGGCTTGTTTCTAGATCAACATGAACAACAATTATCTTTAACATTAAATATTCCCTATGATCTGAAAAAATGTATGTATACTTCAAAATTTTCAAGTGAAAGCTAAGTACTATGGCTGCTGGAGATCTGAAATAAAAACAGAAAATATTGGAGAAACTCAGCAGATCTGGTGGCATCAATACAGCAACAGAGTTTACATTTTGATTCATAGAGTCATGGAATGATATAGCACAGAAACAGACCCTATGGTCCAACTCGTCCATGCCAACCAAGTTTCCCAAACTAAACTAGTCTCAGTTGCCTGTGTTTAGCCCATATCCCTCTAAATCTTTCCTATTCATTACCTGTCCAAATGTCTTTTAAATGTTGGAACTGTACCTGCATCTACCACTTCCTCTGGCAATTTATTCCATAGTGGAATCACCCTCTGCCAATATGACTTCTTCAAAATTGCCTGAAATTCGTTAAGTTACAGGTATAAAGTAATAAAACTGAGGCCTTTTCTGAGCACAGATCATTTAGCATCAGACAGCAAAGGTCAAAGAGATGGAGTGAAAAGCAGGAATCAGGTCAGAGGGAAAGGGAGTGGAGGAAGGATGCAGAGGGACATTGGTACCTGTGAGTTATTGCAACTTGCATTAACACTCGAAAGAAAGAGAAAATGTTTCTTGTTAAGGTGCAAAATGAGGCAAGAAGTAAAAAGGATCAGGAAAGCAGGTCAACTTTGAGACAGTGTGAGGCAATGCTGATAGAGACAGAGGTCGAGAGTGTGTAGTTGGCAACATATAGCACTGAGTATAGATCTCAGGATGTGGTGAAAACAGCCATCCAAAGAATGTTGTATGTCTCAGAGATTCCTGTAATTCTGAGTGGATTCAAAACAACAAGAATGGAACTCCAGTTGGAATCTGTATTAGATAAATCAGAGCCAGAGCCAGAGCCACACCTAGTCACTGAGGAAGGAGATGTGGCTATGACAATCAGTCATGGCAAACATCTCATCAAACACTAGGAGAGAAATAGAAAGCAGTATCATTTTCATATTGTACACAAAATATTAACACTATTTCTGGCTCCAGAGGTGCTGCCAGACTTGCGGAATTTCTCCAGTGTTTTGTTTTATTTCAAAATCTTGTTAATTGCATTCAAATGGTTTTTTGCTTTTGGAAAATTACATGAATGACTTAAACCTTCTCTGAAGTTCTCAAAGACAGATCATCTCCTCAAAATGTAGTTAACAAGACTCTGATTATTTGATTTTTAACAGCTCACATGATGGCTTTGCTACCATAGCATGAGCTTCTCTTTCTTCCTATATTTAAAAATTACAATTTCCAAACTAAAATTCCTATAATGTATTCATCCTATATATCCTATGATGTATCCTATAATGTATACATTCACAATAAATTTAATCATCTACCTGCATCATAGTAACAGGAATGCACCTCAGCAAACCTGGCTGGTGTTGGTGTTTTCTCGTCCCAACCCCTTCCAATCTAGACCTCAATAAAGTTTGCTGCTATTTAGCTTTCACTCACTCTGTGTCATTCATTTTCTTGCTCCCACTGTATTATACCAGCTTCCACTCTCACTGATTTACCCCAGATTCTACTTTTGCTGACCTATTCCATTCTCACTCACACTACTTTATCCTATTTCCACTCTCATTGCTTTGGATGAAAATTTTATAGGATAAATTTAGAGCATTGATTAGATGATGCCAACCTTTGGTTTTTAACACTTGAGTCATGTAGAACAAAGTAAAGACTGAGAGAGTAAAGGAATAGTACAGCTTTGAGGTCCTGGGAAGGGTAAGACATAGTACATTCATGCTTCATCTCTATAACGTGGGGATATATTTCCTCTGAGAAAGGCCCAGAAATTCATTACAAAATCTTTCAAAAAAGCTGCCAATCTGCTGTGAGCGAATGAGTACTTCCTTTTCACTGTCTAAATCTTTTTCAATTCTGCTTCCTGATGAATTGCTTTTCATAATTCTTCAAACATTGTGTTTCTGATGCTCAGTTTGATCTATCATTTTAAACAATTTCTCCAATTTGACTTTTCCTTTACATTGTTCCAATGTTTCTATCCTAATTACTCTTAAGGAGTTCTCCTTGAAGAAGTCGTTTCAGATTTGACAGATAATATGGTAAATTTTGTATAATGTCACCCAGGTTCTTGTTCTCTGTGGTTCCATTCCTGAAAATAAAAAAAATGTGGCTACTTTCTTAATACTGCTAACTTTTATTTTGTATCTGCTGTAGTATCTCTGTACCATTTCGAAATTATTATAAAGTACTTTTACTCTGTATTATGCATTAGGACATTTTGTTCATTAGAAACATTATATAAGTATCATGTATGACAATGTATTTGTTT